GAAGAAGATAAAAAGGGTTCCTTCTCACCTTCCCAGGTGGAGAAATGCAGTAACTCACCTTTGCACAGAAACGTGGATTCTTACCTCCTGGATTGACTATGCACCAATAATTACTAGCATAACTGCAAAAAGATTAAACCCTAGTAATCAACTGGCTGCCTCAGTTAATCCATTTACAGTGATTTTACGACTTTAGTGGAGAGGCCTCCTGGGTCCCCACAGGTTTCTAATGCTTGTGCAGCACAGTCACAGCAGTGCCTCAGCTCTCCTGACCTTGCTCAAACAGGCTTTGTGTCAGTGTTTGCTCTGCTGGGCCCTCCCTGGTCACAGGAGGGCTGTTTCCCAGATCCACTGCTGGTATTTCACAATGTTAGGGTGCTGACACAGGACCCACAATCTTCTGCCCTGCTCTATAGAACAAAAGGCTGAAGCTTGTGCCGCAGCACACACACACACACACACACACACACACACACCCACCCCAGGAATGCTGGAGAGAGCAGGAACAGATGGATCCATTCCTTTGTCAACTACTACAGATACATGTAAATGAAGGACAACATGGAAGACCCAATTAGTCAACTCCAGTCCCCAAAAAAGCTTCTGTAAGACTGCCAGTGGCACTATATCTTCAGGAAGACACAAATCCTCTGTTCATGCAGATGAAAGCCTGCACTGGCCCTGCTCAGAGCTGCCACCATGTCTTCTGCCCCTGCTCAAGTTAGGCTTTGTGTTTGTTGCTCCAGCTGTGACTTATGCAAGGCTGCCACATCCCGCCTTAGTGAGGTGCTGGACTCATGTTCATCCTCCATGCTTAGAGCCCTCAGTGTTCTGGAATTCAGATTTTTCTGTACCCCAGGCATTCAGGATTAGCAGCACATTTAAAAAAAAAAAAAAAAACAGAGAGCAAGGATTGCATCTTGCTTGTATTCCCTTTCTAACAGCACCCCTAAGTCCCACAAGCAGGCACCCAGTGACACCAGCCCAGCATTGCAGGAACACAGCCAGGCTCAGGGAGAGTCTTTTTGGGAAATCACTGCAAGTTACCCCTGCAGCCAGGGTTGGGTTTGGGCATTGGAGGGAAAGGAGGCCCAGGTGTCTGCTGACCTTCCAGAAGGGCAAAAGTTCTTTCATCCCCTTGTACTGGACTACACTGAGCTCCTATTTTCCTCTTACAGATAGTTCTTGCCCCAAAGGAATCCACACAGTGTGAGGAACACCCACTGATTGATATGGTTGTGTGGGGCTGTCTGAGCTGAAGGGAAGAGCCAGAGCCACAGCCACACAGCAGCAGTCCCTGCTCTTGAGCATCGTGGGAACACTGCTCCTGGCTCAACTTGAGGTTCACAAGAGGAAAATGGGGTGCCAACATGGGGTGTCTAGGAATGACCTAGACCAGACCATGGCTGCAGCCCCTCCCCTGTGCTCAACAGCGCAGTGGGGTTGTTGAACAAAGGCTCGTTTGCTCCATCGTCACCTGCCAACATGGGGCCAGTGTGGGAACATGACACAGAACAGGAACTCAGATTTCAGTGGAAGCCTCCAGACTTGGACAGCAATCTCCAGCAATGTTTCAGAGACAAAAAAAACCCCAAGCCCTTCTTAACAAATCCAGAGTCAGAAAAATCGTAAATTTTCTGTTGAACCAACAAGCTTCATGAAGCTACCCTGTCCTGTCACTTTTACAGGTCTGGTTAAATATACTGAGTGTAGCACTGGAAATCAGGAGCTGACTTCCCTGCAGGGCTATTTCTAGGAGTGCACAGCTGAAGGGAAGTCCTAAAGTGCAGGAGAATTCACAAAACTGTGTTATTGCAAAAACCTTTCCTGTTTTCATCCCTCATCACTGCCAACATCACACTGGTATGGAACTGCAAACAAGGTGTACTTTTTGTCTAGTATTTGGAGGAGTAAATACAGGTGTACCTGAACTTGGCATCCTGTTACTGGAAAGTCCTGTGAAACACGAGGGGCCTCTCAGCCAACACCAGGCACCTGGCAAAACTGCCAGTTTCTATGACCTGTTAAGAGAATTCATCTTTCAGAAGTTCATTAGATGCTATCTATCTGCTGAATTTTCTTTGAGCAAACAGGTCTGTACTTTTTTCCTAAGCTGTAGCTCAAAGTCCCAAGTATGAGACTCCCAAATCTATTTTAATTAGGCAGGCACTCAAGCTCTTGGAGAGAAACCACTGCAGCTCTTTGTGCAAGACAGAATCCCTGGCTCAGTGGTGGCCTTTCCACAACATTCCACTTCAGCCGAGAGCATCCCAGTACGCTGAAATATCAGAGCAGGTTACAGACCAGGAAGTTCAGGCTTTGGAACAAGGAACCACAGAGTGCTCAAAGGGAAACTTCTGAGTTTCTCTTGTGCTGGGGGAGCACATCATGGAATAGAGATGGGCTGTGGAGCTCAGAGACTGACCTGACACAACAGTTTGTTAAGAAAGTAAAAATAAATAAGCAATTAAAATGACTTTTGCAAAAGAACAGGAAGAACATATGAGCTTTGTTCAGATTCTTTAGTTTGTGCCATTTCACATGTGATGTATGGGTCTGAAACAAGCATTTGTTCTCGAGGGAAATGAGAACTGAACAATCTGAACTTCAGGTTTAAAGACTGAGGGCAGTAAAGCCATGTTTTGCAGAGATTCCATGTCCCAACTAGAACTAGGGAGAAATCAGTTGGACCAAAAAGCTCAGCTAAAAGACAAGATGTGTTTGGGAAAGTGATTATTCTTCTCTCCCTTCCTTTAACTCATTAGGAAATGAATTATTACTCTCAAACCAGTCATAAGGCAAAAATAATATAATGCAGACTCATGCAGTCCCATTTTTAGAATCGATTACATTAAGACTAGTGTAAGACTTCAGAATATTTTTGGTAAGCATTTATATGTATTCCATTTCCTAAGAAATGCCTCAGTCAGGCAGCTGTACGGGCGAAACACCAAACCCCACAAGTTTTACAATCCATAGCACAGTCATAATTAAGGGTTCAGTACTAGCTTCAGTCAAAGGCACAAGGCCAAAGCAACACAAGTCATCAGGCCCTGGGTAGTGTCACTGAATTTATCTTTTTTTTTCTTTAATCTCCAATTTTAAGATTAGCTTTTAGCCAGAGCTCAGCTCCTCAGCATCACAAATCTGCTCCACAAACAAAAACACTGAGGGTGTTACCTCCCACATTTCAACAGCACCTTCCTCATTTGCTGTTCTGTCAAAGAAAACAAAAGTATTGGCAACCAATCAGTTGTGCAGCCAAAGGCCACAGTGATTGGACTCCACTGCACATGTATGTGAGAAGCTCACTGCAGGGGTTACTGCTGGCAAATGAGCAGGAAAGAACATTAGTACTCTGCACTGACCTGTCATGTCCTGCCACTCCCAGGGTACCTTTGATGACACAAAAGGTGCATTTAAATAATTTGTAACTCCATTTCAGTAACAGTAATAATTTGTAGAAGTCCTCCATTTCCATAAGCTATCATTAGTACATGGAATGATAAATATTCTCTAAAAGACTTAAATAGTGGTCCCAAGGATAACTTGTAACTCCAGCAAACAAAATGGATCAGCATAAAACAAAGACGTATCTTACTTTACAAATCAAGGGTTATAATTACCAGAAAATTCACATACCTCCCTCAGCCTTTCTGGTCAATCAGTTCTGTCAGCGGCCCTGGTGTTAGTGGGGACTGTCCCTCCCTGCTGCCATCAATACCTGGTTGTGCCCATCACACCCACTGCCACAGGGGAAAGGGCACCTCAGCGAGAACCACCTCTTCCAGAAATATGAACAAGCACATTTCTGTGAATACAGCACTGTCCAAGTAGCTACAAATCCAAAAGGACAAGTACTAAAGAAAGCTCATTTCCAAATTCATGGTTTAAAATCTATTGCACATATAAAAATGAAAGATCCCAGGACTCCAATAAGATTCTTTAAAAAACTGGATCTGCTTTGTCTTGAAGCAACTGAAATGGATTTCTCTAAATCTACTGGGATATGAAATTGCTGTAATACTTTTAGCCTGTTTGCTTTTAACACTACTATTGAAAATACTTCTGACCAATGTATTACTAAGGAAAAAAAAAATTGAAAATTTCTCCACAGTCCCAAGAAATTATGAATAACATAAACTATGCTGTACAATTGTAAGCTTGTTTTGAGTCAACAGACACCTCATGATGTGATATCTGGACAGGAAGGGACAGAAGGAGGCTGATACCTAATATGTTCACAAGCTTTCCCAGTACTCAACCTCAGAAAGCAGCTTTCAGTCAGAATACCTGAGTCTAACTGATGTGAATAATATATAAAATGCACGTGTAGTTTCACTTGCATTTCACATTATCTCCTGCATTCCTGCAGGTAAGTAAAAAAACTGCAATGCCTCTAAAAAATTATATACCACTTTGAGCCAAACCAGCAGCAAATTCCCTTTCACCATTCATTTCAGCCCCAGCTTGAACAGACTGTTCAAAGTGCTCTACAAAAACTAAGACACTATACAATGGATGCTCTGCTGCCTCTTCCTTCTCCTAAGGTGTTGCAGCACAGCTTGTGAGTTTGGAATGAGATCAGAATATCAGCAGCAATACTGACAGCTTTGCTTCTGCCTGGGAGAGCACTACAGCTCTTTTGTTTATTCCACTTTCCACGTGAACCACTGTCACATTCTGACAAAGGAATGGCTCTGTAATCCAGTGTTTCAGTGAATCCAGAATAAACCAAAAAAACTGTAGGCTTTTTCCTGCTCTCCAGAAACAACCCTGTGCCCTAAGCTGAGTCGCTGCATTCCCAATATATAACGAGCATTTATTAAGACTGACATAAGTGAGTTCTGGGTCACCAGAGTCCCATGAATGTCGTGGTCCACACTGCAATTACTCTCTGAACCTCGTCATCAGTACTAGGGAAACCAGCTTCATATGGTTTGTTCATCCCAGAACCAGGGATTAGATTTAAGACTGACATGATTTCTTCAAACCAGAGATGCTTTCCCCGAGGTTTTGTTCGTTATTTGTAGCCAAAAAAGGTGCAATATAGCATCTCTCCTCAAACCCTGAAAAGTAAAGTGACTTGGAGATAAAAATGCCACCACTGAAAGGTCCAGTGTTGCAGAGTCTATGCTGGCACCCAGATAGGGAGTGGATGAGCCTCCGTGTTGAAGACGTATTTGTCAAGGTTGATTAAGTCTATGTCGTCTGAAAACAGCAGAAACATGTATTTGAGTGTTTCCCCAAGAAAGAAGCTCTCCATCTTGTCCCGTGGCTCTGGATTACTGGGATTCTGGACGTTGTTAATGGAAGTATAACCACCTGTAGGAACCTGTGCCAAAAAACAAACAAACAAAACAAAAAAAAAAAGTCTAAACTAGAAATTCATATCTTTATATAATCTACAATAAATTATTTTTTACTTCCTAACATCCAGATGCACTTGGAGAAGATAAATGCTAGGAAACAGATCAGCATGTTTTTCATTTTGTACTTGGTTTTCCTTTACGTAAAAGAGCTTCAGTTATGAAAAACACCAACTCATTGCATTTTAAAAGAAACCAGAAGGATAAAATGAAACAAAATATCCATTTATACTTAAGTTAAAGAGGTATCACAAGGAACATTCCCTTGAAGTTTCTGGACAAACATACAGGAAGGAACTAGTAATTTCTAGGTTAGAGCTGGCCCAAGCCCCATACCCATTTCAGAACAGACCACAGATATTTGATGACCACTGGCATCTAGGCCACACTTTCACAGCATATCAGTGATATCTCAACCAGTACTGTAGTCTGAATGAATACAAAACCCTTTATCAAAACATTAATGCCATTTTGTGCCCATTTTTTCCTTTGGCAGCTTTAATCAGAGCATTCATTCAATCCCGCCAGGTCCTTCTCAGCTTCTGAATTCTAAAAACAACCACAGTAGAGATTCAAACAGCTTCCAAGATGTAGAGACTCTTTGGCAGTCTTGTCTACAGTTTCTAGATTCCACTGTTTAATCAATGCAATACAAGTTCTTTCCCTATACGGACTAAGTAGTGTATCTCAAACTGTAAGAAACCAATTTTTCTGGATATTCGTACAAATTTCCCCACAGGTGTCTGATGAATCTTGAAACATAGTAAGTTTCCAAAGTTGGTGTCAGAAAGCAAGTGAGCAAATAAAGTCCTGACAGAACAAGGTCACTTGGCCTTACCCGTGTGTATTTATTGAAGTTCTGCAAGATTTTCCAGCCCCAGTCTTGATATTTCTTATCACCAGTGAATCTGTACATATAAAAAAGGCTTTCCACAGTTTCTGGTCGCAGTAAGTTGTGCCTGTCTGCAGGCTGCAAGAGGAAAAAAAGGCAAGAGCACTTCAGACAGGCAATTTCCTCAAGGACACATGCAGGGAGAAAGATTCCCATCTCCATCTACTCCTAAGAGTTTGCTATGCATAACTCAGCTTTTAAATACACTATCAGGGTAATTAAAACCAAAGCCCAGGGTACAGCTAGAAGGAAAGGCAGCAAACTGCTCCACAACAGACCCCATCACCAATATCTGGCCAGAGTTCAACAGCAGAACAGAGCTACAGAGGAATCATGGAACTGGAGTTCAGGCCAGCTGTCTGCTCACCTTGATTTCCACATCCTTGTTGCCCTTCTGCGCATGGAGGTTGAAATGTACGATCTCCGGGCTCAGGCCTGTCTCTACTTGAGCATACATCTGGTAGCAGGTTTCTATAAGGGCTTCAGCTAATTTCATATGATCAGCATCCAGTCCATTGTGGGCTCCCAGTGCCAAAGTACCCGGCAAGAAGCAAACCAAGTGATCCTGCACGACAAGGCAACTCTTACTGCAGAGAAGTTATGCATCGAATGGGTATTTGCATGTGTGTGTGTGCGCATCTCTGTCTTTCTGGGTTTATTCCTTCTCTTCTTCAAAACACATTTCTGGTACCTACAACTTGAGGATAAGTCTTTAATAATCTGATGTAATGCAGCATGAAGCAAGCAGCATTACTAGAGAACTCATTAACTTGGAAAACATCCCAGACTGTGTTTCTATGACAAGTTGCTGGAAAAAAGGTCTCAGGTCAGGGGGAGGGGGAGGAGAGTGTCTTTTGGTTTACCAGAAGCATACAATATATTCCATATCAGCTCATGCATGGGGTCAACAGAACCAGCTAAAGGTTTGGTTGTCCTCATTCTGTACACCACTGATATAAACTATAAGAACTGCAGACTGATGTCATATATGGGATTTAAAATGATTCTTAAGATTCAGAATGAAAGTTCAGGTCTCATCGCCCAAAAAGCAAAACCATTTTGATGCCCCTGTATGGGCCTTCTAAAGCTTTGTCCAATCCTAAAGGAAAGTTGAGGATTGTAAAGGTCGACATAAACCAAACAGTCAAACATTTCCCACTTTTCCAGCTGGCCAAATGTAAGAGACCTATCCAGCCTTTCAACAAGTAATAATAGATTAAATACCAAAATTCTAACTCCCCCATGGAACAGAAGAAAGTGTACTGACACATGGAGATGCCTAAGCTGCATCATCTGTCTCAGTTCAATTCTGTCCTATCTTGGGATGGAGCAGCCCCCTCTACCCAGACTCAAGTGTCACTCACAGCAGGTTTGGAAAGCTTTTGGGAAATTCAGATCCAAGAAGAACACGCTGAAAACTAAAGCTGAGGATCTAAAAAATATTACATCAAGAAACCAAACAAATAATAGAATTCACTAAACCTTACTTCAAGTATTGAAAAAGTATGCGTAAGGCTACACATACATTAATAATACAACACTTGCCTTTAAGACAAGCCACAAGCACATACCATGCCTGCACTTGCATGAGATTTTTAATACTTGTATGAGATCTTTAACTGCAAGATCTTTAAGCACGTTTTAAAGAGTATGGATGCATATATTAAGAGCAGGGAGTTAAGAATAATCAATGTTCCCCACAGCAAACAGCTGTTTTACTCAAGAACCCTACAGTAGGAAAAGAAAAAAAAGTCATGAATGGACAGAAACCTCCAAAATTATCAGATTTTTTTTTTTTAACCCCATAACACAATATTAGATCACCACCTTCTTTTGAAGGCAAATCTGAAAAGCCAGGTTGCAAGTATCCATGTATATTTTTGAATTATGGAAAATGAATAATACATAAAATAGGCATTGCCTAAACAGTTTCAGACACTGGAAGTTCATGACCAAAAAAACCAGAAAAAAAGAGAAGGAAAATTATAAAAATTTAACTCCAGCACCAAAATGTTTAATTTTAGAGGAAAATAAATGGATTTACTAGACTAACCCAGACAGAAGGCCCCTGGTTTGCACATGTGTTTAGTATGTACAAAGCAGTTACTCAGTACTGCCATCACACTGGAGAGATAGATGTGTATATATATATAGTCTTGGGGTTTGGGTTTTTGTTGGTTTAGGGTGGTTGTTTTTCTCTTTAGAGAGGGAAAAGCTTTGCATTTGCCTGGCCGTGTGTTGGGTTTTATTTAAATTTTGTGATGGTTTTTCTGTTTTCTTTTGTTGTTTGTTTTTTTTTTTAAATGCAATTGTATTTCTTACCATCTTGGCACTGAAATGGCCATGAGCAAGCTCTCCTACAAAAGTAAGCTTCCTGGGGGCTGATCTCTGAAGAAGATGCTTTTTCACCCCTTCTATGGCTCTCATATAGTCTTCCAACAGGCTGTGAATGAAAATCATTCCCAGTTGGCTCACATAAACACAGTCAGAATATATTTCATTATAGCTGATCACCACAATCCTTTAGGAGACTATTATTTTGGTCTAAAGAATAATATTTAACTAAATGTGAACGGACAAAAAAACCCTTTAATTGGTTGTTACTACCATGTAGCAATACTTTAAAAAGTAAACCCTTATTTATGTATTAAAGAAAACATCCCTAACGGTTTCTAGGCAATAACCAGATTTTATTTCAAAAATCCATGGAAGTAGAGTAATTGAAATTACAGAAAATGTAGGGTGGGAAGGACCTCATAGAGGTCTCTACTTCATCTCTCTGCTCTGAGGCAGATTCAGTTACATCAGGTTGCCTGAGGTTTTATCCAAGCAATTTTTTAGTACCTCCATCCAAAGATGCAGTGGTATCTCCATCCAAGAGGGAGATTCAAAGACTTGGAGCAATCTTTTCCAATTGACCTCTCTCTTTGTGAAACATTGTTTCACAGTATTTAATTTGATTTTCCTTTGTTTCTAAGAGCTTTCATGTGGAAAACAACCTGTTGATTAATTCCATTGTGAGGCTCTCAAAATGCCATTGTGGTCCCGAAAACACTGATTCTCCATTTACACTGAGGTAAAGCTTGGAAAAAGCAGTGAGAAAACTTTGTTTGTAGAAAGGCATTTGCTCTTATACACAGAAAAGCCTGTAAGAGGCATGTTGACACTCTCAAAATGAACAAGTCCAACATAATTAGCTTATAATGCAAACAAAAAATGCTGGATTTTTTGTCTTGTTTTGGAGGAAACCTTCTTTTTCAAAATTTTTGATTCCTCTGCTCCTTATAAAGTTTCTCCTCCACTTTTGCAGTGCAGACAAAAGAAATGTATGAGACTTAAAGAGGGACTTTTTACAAGGGCACATAGAGATAGAGAAAGGGGCTTTAAATTGAAAGTAAGTAGGTTTATACTGGATATTAGGAAGAAATTCTCCCCTGTGAGGGTGGTGAGGCCCTGGCACACGTTGCCCAGAGAAGCTGTGGCTGCCCTGAAAGTGTTCAAGGCCAGGTTGGATGGAGCTTGGAGCAACCTGGGCTAGTGGAAGGTGTCCCAGGGCATGGGGTGGGATGAGATGAGCTTTAAGGTCCCTTCCAACCCAAACCAGTCTGTGCTTCTGTAATTAAAGCAAAGATTTATACAAACATCAAACTTCAGTCTCCTTTTACCCTTCACTAACAAACACAGAGCAAACACAGACATTGCTGGTGAAAGGAAATATCAGCAGTATTTCAGAAGTGTCTAATTACGCTCCATATCTACAGCAAAGACTTAATTTTCATCTCCCGCTGTCACACGCCTTACATCTGATGAGCTGAGGAAGAAAAGCCCTCTGTGGAGAAGGAGCTTTGAGACTAAGCCTAACTCTCCTACTGGTTTTACACAAAGTTACCAGAGGTCCCTCTTGCTGCTTAGCTTGCTTTTAAAAACAGTGATATGTTCAGTCAACTCTGAACATATGCTAATTTTCTTTAAGCAGCAAACTAACTACAACAGAAAGTTTTACAGCTCACCTAATTCTCACACTGATATGAGAAGTGGAAATAACTTACTCGTTTTCTTTTTTCCCACCCTGAATCCACTGCTTGAGCAGATACTCATAGTAGCTGTCAGCTCTGGCTCCCAGAGTGTAGACCCCCAGGTGGGTGAACTGCCCACTGTTGGTGTTGATGAACATAGGCACGAGTCCATCGTTTTTCCCTGAGAGGGTGTGAACATGCTTCATCACCTCATCTACAGCTTTCTGCAAGAAAGAAAATGGCAAGCATAAATTACAGGTATAAATGATGCCCAAAACTGTACCTAGTAACACCAGGCCAGTAACAAATCCGTAACTTTTCTTACCCAAATTACCATCAGGGACATAAAGTTCATCTCGAGCAATATATTAAATATAGGATTTCAAACTTTTGGACTCTCAAAACATGATGTTTTGGGTACATTTAAGTACTGTGAAATAATTATAACTGTTTTCTTACCTTCAAGGTAAGCCCACTTGAAAGACAGTACTATGGGACAGGACTATGATCTGATTTACTCGGATTTGCAAAGCAGAAGTCTAGCTAAAATAACAACTACATGAATCATGCTATAGCTAAATCTTCCTTAAATAACTGCATTCTTCAAAATTGAGCTGTGGATACAATAAAACAACATCAGCAAACAAAAAGAAAAGTGGAAAATATTATTTTCTCTGAAATTACTCTTCCCTGTGCTGTGACCTGCTCTCAGACTCTTATCTAGTGAGTCATATTTTAGTTCCTTGGATGGCAACACTACAGTTTTCTTCTTTGCATATAGGTAATGGCATCAAGAAACCACACTCAGAATTTTTTATTTTTTTAACTAAAAGCTGTTTCTGAGGAAGAAAAATAATTACTGATCTCCAGTACTACTTTTTAGTATTCAATAAAATAATCAGGATGTTTTGTTTCTTTTTCTTCCCACATCTAGAGTTTCACAACTTATTTATTGTAACTTAAAGACTCCAGAGACCACGAGTACTGATGGGAGTCAGTGGTGGAGCTGCAGAGAGATGGATAAAAAAAGAGACATCAATTTATTCTTCCATACCTGGAATTTGTCATCTCCAGTGAGACGAGAGAGCTCCCTAAACTCCAGCTGAATGCTGGTCACCTCTGCCACGGTGCTATCGGATGTCCAGCGAGGGGGATGTGCAGTGCCCCGGCCAATGTTGACATCAGAATATGGTATCTTTGAGGGGGTCTTGAATGCTGGCATAAGCCTGTTCCCAATGTCTTTCTACAGAAAACCATAAGCACAAAGCAACAAACAAAACAAAAAATAAATATACACTCACACCCCATTAGATTTTCTTCACCTAGCATACAGAAAAAGACAGAATAGCAGCTCAGTTTTAGGTGGTGCAAGCAATTAAAGAATTAAAAGAGGTCATGAATTTATTCATAGTAATGAGCAGTCTCCACCTTGTCCCTAGCACTGCAGGCCTCACCTGAGGCTGCAATCCTTATGTCACATGATGCAAGTCTGCAGTCACTAACTGCATCTAGTTAATCTGAAGAGGTGGCTGACACTGTTAAGACACACAGAGAGAGAATCAAAAGACAACTATTACCATTTGCCAAGCATTTATTTCTTGCTTTGTTTCATGAACTTTATTATGGTCAGCCATTTACCAGCAGAAGAGCAGGCATACAAGGATAGGTGCAGTGAGGCTCTGAGGTCATCTGAAGAGCAAAGAGGTGCAGGCTTAAAAGCATAATGGTAAATCCCTTTCCTACCACTTTAAATATTTTTTCTTAAAAAACAGAAACATTTAACTTTCTGAGAAAACTTTCCTCAACTTTGTCCAATATGGAATACATAACACAGTTTCATTTGTACTGCCAGTCACTCACAGCTTTTTCCAGGAAAAGGCTATCTCCAGAGAGGTGGTAGGTGCTCAGCAAGCCGCCCAGGATACGGATGGTGCTCTCAAACAGGTTCACATCCACATTTTTATCAAATACTAAATCATTTGCTACCCATTTTCTTGCTTCTTCAAATTCTGCAAAGTATAAAAGGTAGTTCATTTATGAACTTCTGGAATGTTCAAACAACTAGAGATATGAGTATTCCATGTATCCCACACACTTATTTACATCTGTCTACAGAGGTGATAATTTTAGGTGGAAAACTAAAGTGAAGAGCACATCCTGGCTTAATTCTTATTCAGCACACACCACAGATGCATACAGACAGAAATATCCACCAAAATAGAAAGTTCTTAATAGTCTAAGAAAAGAAGGAACAGGGAAATTCTTTATTAAAAAAATCCAGAAATTTAAGTCTTTCAAATCCATCCATTTGACTTGTCAGACAATTAGTTACACTTTCACAGAGCCTTCTGTTTTTAATTAAATCTTCAACCAAAGCTGTTATCTACCAAGACAACAGATAACATATTCAGTTAACAGCCTTTAACACCTTTAGCCTAGCAATGTCCTGGGGAGCCCGCTTCCTGCCTCAGCACTTAACACACAAAATCCCCACAGGTTGCAATTTTTTTCTCTAGGAACAAAAACAGTTGTTTATCGCACTACTAATTTTAAAATAAGAACGTTAAAAAAAAAAAAAAGCCATTTTAGATTCATCAGCCAGCTTAGCAGCAGCATCACTCAATGACTGCTTTGGCAGAGGGTCTATCTCCACGGTACATATGAGTCAGCTCAGTCTCCAAGTGTGAGGGCTGGGCTACCTCGAACAATTTCACAGCCTCCAGAAATTCCTTCTTGTGAGAAGCAGCAGCACAACCAGTTTCCCAGAAACTGAAGGCATTTCACAGAAGATAAACTCTAAAGCAAAAGGATGCCTCTTGTGCCCTCTGGTCTTGGATGCTGAGCAGATTAAGAACCACAGAAAATCTCCCAGACAGATGTTAGGGCTATTAGCAGTGGAACAGCAAAGGCACAGTACTCTGCCACAGAAGCTTTTGCATTCATCAGCTAATAAGAAAGATTGGCAGTCTCAAAGAAAACTTTCATTTACATAGCATTTGTTATTCAGAAGATACCTCAGGAGCTTTCTAAGGCAATCAGCAGAACTGCTACAAAATATGAAGAACTCCTCACCAAGAACCCCTTTTCAGCACATCTAAACTACTAATCATTTATTTTAAAAGTTTTATTCAGTTCGCAATTAATTTTTAGGAAAAAAAAAGGATCAATACACTGACAACTTGATGAAACTTCAAGACAGCCTGCTCATGCCTAGACCTACACACACATGACATATTAAAGCAAACAAAAATTCTATTTTATGCAAACTTCAAAGGTAGAAGAGAGAGAACCATGAAGGACTGAGTATTAACTGTTCCCTTACTTGCAGCTCTGTTCTTCTTATCTCGACAGAAAAAGCTGCACGATTAATAGAAGTTTACAAAGGAGGCTCTCTACCAAGGTTAAATAAATACAGTTCCAGAAATTTTTAAACACCACTAAAAGCCCTGCACCACCAAAAAAAAAAAAAAAAAAAAGCCAAACACACAACAAAAAATTCCTCTTAAATACTGATTAAGCATTTAAGTTTTTTGCAACAGAATTGCACAAATTTTGGCTTGGTTTTTAAAATCTGTTTTTAAGTTTTCTCACATGGTCACTTTCAGAATATCTCTAAAAAAGACAGGCAGAAGAGCAATTTAGGAAGACTTGAGTGCTCCCTTTCTCCACCCATGGATTCCTTACAGATACATCCACTGAATGTCTTGTTACATGTAACCATGGAATATTCTTTTTCTGGCTCAAAATTCAATTGCAAGAAAAACAGTGTCCTTTATTATAGTTGGGGATTTTTTAAAATATTTTTATACATATTTATGTGTGTGTGTGTATGTATATGTATATATATATATACATACATATATATAAATATATATATGTATTTACCCATACAGGAAAGCTAAACTTTTTGGCCACACGTAAAAAATGTTGCCCTCAAAGACCTCTGAGCATGCACTGCCTGTATAGAATAAAAGGAATTATTTTAGAGGGGAAAAAAACAGAGGAGGAAAAAATGTTACCTTCTTTTAATCCTAAAATCCACATGGTATCCAAGGCATCAATTAAGGTCAACCCAAGTCCAAACCACTCACTGTAGGACTTGGACAAAGGCTTCAGCTCATCATGGCCCCAGGCAAAATCCTTGTACCCTCTCCAGGCGTGGCGAAAGGCTTCGATCACAGCCATCTGGCGCTCATTTATGGGCACTGCAAAGGAAAACAGCACCTTGCTCAGGACTTCTGCAGGGCATTATGCAGCTATACCAAGCACCATTTTGCTGCATTCTACCCAAAATAAACTTTCTTCCAAACTAACTGATCTGTGCAATGGAAAAACCATCCTCACATTATTCTCTTCAGGACAGCCTTTCGTCTGTGTTTCTGGTCAGCAATTCAGCCAGGTGGAAAAAGAAATCTCTCCCTGGCAACAAAATTGTCACTTCTGCAAATGAAACATTAAAACAATCACATGCACAATTGTAGATGATTATCACTAAAGCTCAAAGAGCTGAAAGTCAGGAAATACTAAATTAAAATCCACAGTAATTCAGCTGCCGAATACCTATGCTTAACAATGCGATCCTCAACTGATTCAACACATACCATTTTTTCTTCATCTTCCCTCTTTTATTCTTTGCTTTCTGTTAAATTTAAAACCATCTCTATAAAATTAATGTCTATTGAACTTTTCATTTAATACCAAAAGAGGAAGAAAATTTGCAGATTTTGTCTTTTTCCATAATTCTACTGATTTTTTGCTTGCAATTTGCCATCAAGTGAAGTTTACGTTACACATCCAACGTGGAAAATTTCAAGCCCATTAGCTGAAATGTTTCAAAATTGTAAACAAAGACTTCTAGAGTGGGAAACACCAAGCAGCAAAGCTAACCCCATAAATATTCAGCTAGCAAAAGTGCAAATATATCAACGTTGAACTTCCTTGTATGAACCCAGAAAAAGGAACAGCAGGTTCTTTGCTTCACAAGGGCAGCAACTTCAAAAACAAGTTCTTTGGCTTTCTGATGAGCCTTAAAAGCAGTTCAGTTTAGTTCAGGGAGGAAGTAACTTTCCCTGTACTTGCAGAACAGAAGGAAAACATCAGCTGAAAAGGGAAGTGGTCTCTTTCACAACCTCTCTCCTTAGGTTACCCTGTCCTGAAATATCTCTCCGCCCAGAGACTTTAGTTCAAAGACTTTCAGATTCTGAAGGCTAATAAGCATGAAGACTGCCATGGCAGAATAAGGACACTGAAAGGCTTGCATGTTCTAGGTAAGTAATCTTTCCTAAACTTTGTTTCCTTTAATTACAATAAATAAAATAGATGTGCATGGGCAAAATTCACACAATTTCAACCATAAAAGCGAACAGTAATAAAGGTATAATTAACTCTACTATTTACCTGGTTCCTTCTGGTCTTCAGCCTCCACAGATGAAGGTCTTTCTGGTTCCTTTATTTTATTGGATGGAGGTTCAGTGTTTTGGTCAGGTTCTATCACTGCTCCTCTCCAGCTGCAAATACAAGGGACTGTAATTAAGACATATTTTGGTCACAGAAAGTCATGCGAATGAATGGGATTTATCTCTGCATTTCCTTTATCTCGTGATTCTCTGATTAAAAAGAAAAGTTGGATTTTGTGTCAAGGATCAAAATATCTATGTTGTCCAGTAGATAAATTTTCTGTTCAAAGAAAGAAATTTGCATCAGAAAAATTTTACTGTATTAAGAAATGTGTCTTACAAGCTCTTGGAATTTCATTAAATATCTTGGCAATGTAATTTAATAAAAAACACCTGACAATGCTGCATTACAAGTAATTTGTTATCTGCCAGCTCTGTAATGGCCACACCAGCCACTAACACCAAATAGTACCATACAAATGATGATCACCAAAAAATCACAAAGAAGCACAAAGGATGAGCTGCTAAAAGTATGGGTTTTGCTATCATGGGGTCACAAGCCTTCCCTGTCACCACAGATGCATAAATCAGTTTTACAGGTTTTTGTGAAAAACCTCCTGAAGGAGAAGTCTTTCAGGATGGACTTCAAGTCAAGCCAAGAGGGGAAACACTGTAGCTTGCTTGAAACATTTCTACCTGATAATGGATTTCTCCGTTTTATCCCCTTTATCAGTCTGCACTGGCTCTTCTACAGCCCTGATGGAACTGTGTCGGGTCTTCAGCCTTGTGTCCCTCCGTGGTGCCTTGATCTGAAGGTTGGAAGGACCACGACGAACATGAGGTGAGTTTGGCTGCTTCTGAGAGAAGAAAAAAAAATATGCACTTGATATATTACAAAGATGGTAAAATTTCAAACCATAAGTCAATCGTATTTACTAAACAGTATTAAACAATGCTTCAGACTAATCTTAGTTTGCTATCATATCAGCAGTCAAGTTCTGCCTTGAATGGAAGGTATGCTAAAAACCTCCTGCACTAATCCACAGTCAGTTATGTTCCTTTCCCGTTGCATTTCCCAAAAGCACAACCCTTCAAACACTCCTAACATCTGCTCTGCCTGCTGCTATTTTTCAAGCTCTCAGAAAAGCTGTTTGGGTTCACTGTGACATCAGTGCATTCATGTCTCCTATTCATTCCACGACTCCAGGCTCCTCACAAAAGTGAGACTGATGCCCAGAGCACCCCCAAGTCAAAACAAATTAACCACAGCATGAGTGAAGCCTCAAGTAAGAGGTCACTGTGACCTAAAGTCCTGGCACTCCCAGGCAGAGCAGTGAGTAATAAATAGCATACAGAAAACTTAAATGAAAAAGGTAAAGCCAAGAAATGCACACCAAAGCCCTTCCTGAAAAGCGAGCATTCCACCCAGAGCAGACTCTTCTGTGCAAGTTTTAACTCCTTTCTCCACAACAACTGTTGGAACCAATCACTATTTGCAGCCTTCACAAGTTTTTTGGTAGCTTTATAAAACTCATTTCTTCTCTCAGTACCTGCGGCGAAAGCTCAGGGTAGTCTCCACGGTTGGCATCTGCTTTCTGGGGTGCTGGCAGAACAGCTGGATTTGCCAGCTTTACTCCAGGAATTTCTTGTTCTGTTCTCTGATCATCTAACGATTTGTTTGTTAGACCTAGACACACAAAACTGCTCAGCACAAAGAATCAACACTTCAGGTTGCAACTAGAAATTTATAACAGTTTGCTGCATTCACATAGTGGATGCACCTCCAAAAAGTGCATTTACAAAACACACACTAATTGTTAAATGCAATTGTATTTTGGTATTAATCCTCTCCCTAATATACAACAGGGTTGCTAAAAGACACTTTTTTTTTAATTGCTACTATTTCAGTTTCTTAATACAGGCAGTAAGATAATATCAAAGCTAAATGTGCTTAAGTATTGTACAAATGCTTGGAATTTCTAATCTGATGGGCAGTCAAAACCAAGAGAGGATTATCTTATTCTACTGATTAGGTTTGGGCTACCAATATCTACATACAAACATAATAAACAGCCACCAAATCTTAATCAACTGTCATGGTTTAGGAATGGTACTCCCGAATTCCGTGCCCCCACTGAAACCATCCAAAACCACCCTGGCCACTCTCTGCTCCCCTGTTTTCTCCTCCCCCTTCTCACTGCATCAGGGATGGGCTTGAGAATTGGAGGCATGTAAGGAAAGGTTGAGATAAGAACAATTAACTGGAAACAGCCATGAGGTAAGAAAATTAACAGTAATAGGATTAATATTAATAACAAAACAGTCCCTTCCCCACCCCCCAATGACACAACGTGGTGTAGAATAACATCCAAGCCTCAGCTACAACCCCTCATGGCTACTGCAAAAAATTAATGCTGTCCTGGCTGGAACCAGGACGCGCACACAGGTACCTACACAACTTTTCTTGACCCTATTCATGGCCAAGATTTCCTCACCCTGTACATTATCCATGCCTATCTCTACAACATCCAACTATATACATATATATTAATATACAGAAGTACAGATATAAATTCCATAGTCAAAGACCATCCTTCTAAGATGTCTGTGGAGTTCATTTAGTCCAGGACTCTGGGTCCTATCCATCCTTATGTCTTCCAGGGCAGGAAGACATGCTGTCAGTTGGTTCAAGCTGTATCAGGAGCTCACAACTGGTGTATCTAGAGCAGTCTGCCCTCACTGTCCATGGTAGTTATGGCACACAGTGGCAACATCATTCAGCAACCAATATCATACAATTCAACATTACAAACTGTGCTCACACAAAAATCAAATCCCCTTAAGGGATACACCGTGTTTCCCCGTCCCTCTGCATTACCACCAAGTGCACCCAGGTCCTTGAGCAAAAACAATCCCACAGATGGGTTTGCGATTGCTTGAAGCAGGACTAATCCAAATTATCTTCCCTAACACATTCTGCACATGTACCCCACGGACTTTATCCCCTTCTACAGTATGTGGAGGTTTTGATGGGATAGGCCCAGCTCGACTGGTAGAGACAGAGGTGTTAACTAACCAGGTGGACTTCATTAAATGCAGATCCCAATGTTTGAAAGTCCCACCACCTATTACTTTCAATGCAGTTTTTAACAGTCCATTGTACAATTCATGCACCAGAGGTTGGTGCATGATAGAAAATATGATACAGCCACTCCATTCCATGCTGTCTGGCCCAGGGATCTATGAGGCTGTTTTTGAAATGAGTCCCATTGTCCGACTCAGTTCTCTCTGGGGGCCATGTCACCACAGGACTTGCTTTTTCAGGCCCAGGATGGTGTTCTAGGCAGTATCATGAGGCACAGGTTGTGTCTCCAGCCATCCAGTGGTTGTTTCCACCATTGTCAGCACATGGCACTTGACTTGGAGGGTTTGTAGGAGTGTGATGTGATCACCCTGCCAGGCCTCTTCATATTTATATTTTGACCGTTGCCTCCCGTATCACAGAGACTTTACCCACTTGGTCCTGCTTGATTGCAGCATGTTTCACAGTTACGGATAACCTGGGAGATGGTGTCCATGGCTAAGTCCCCCCTTCAATCACTAGCCCATCTGTATGTTGCATCTCTCCCCTGATGACCTGAGGAGTCATGGGCCCACTGATCCAGAAATAACTCCCCCTTGTGTTACCAATCCAGATCCACCTAAGACACTTCAACCTTGGCAGCCTGATCCACCTGTCTGTTGTGATGTTCTTCAGTAGCCCAACTTCTGGGTTGGGTTTCTTCTTCTGTATAGGGGCGACTGCTACTGGCATGGGTTGTTCCTTTGTCTCAGCTGCAGTCTGAGTGGTCACTGTGGCTGTTGCTCTGCTTTCCTCCTCCTCCCCCTGAGGGTGCTGTCTGGTGATGAGAGTGTCTCATAAATAGCAGCCAGAGCCCAACACACTGCATTAAGTTGCTCCTCTCTGGAGTTACCACAGCATTCTCCTTTCAAATATTCTGCCACTTTACCAGGATGCTGTAGCTCTTCAGGAGTGAACTTCAAACCACTGGAGCAGAGAATTTCCCCAAAAGCTGGCCCATTTTCCCCCATCCTTCCATGCCACTCATGACTATCCACCCTCAGGGCAGATCTCTGAATGACCTTCTTAAAAATCTTTGACTCTAAACACGGTGTGGACTGCACTGAGGAGACCTGGCAGACTTGGCAACGAGAACATGCTTTCCTTAACAGCCAAAGAATTAAAAAATCTCAAAAGCTATTGTAACAGGCCTGAAGAAGGAAAAGGGTATGAAAGGCTGGGAAAATCATCCTCCCCTGTTCCCCACACAGAATGGGTACGATTATTACTGGACTCCCAAAGGCAGTGCCCAAGGTAGGGTAGGAGAGCAACACTGAACACACATCCCAAATGACCCTCACTGCCCTTGATGTCATCATGTCATAAACTGATATCCCACAGTACAGCAACAAAGCAATCCCAGTCCCTCTCCCTTCTCTGAAAAAGATCCCCACGAGGAGCACATAGAGGAATATTATATACAGGGTTAGGTACCACAACCATGTGAACAGACCAAGCTATATTGTGACCAGTGGTTCTGTAGCTAATACAACATATGCTTAGATCTTGTTTTCAACCTGCTCTGGGCAGATCTGTTGTTATCTCAACCCTTTGTGCCTCACACTGGGCACCAACTAAGGCTGTTAGGAATGGTATTCCCCAATTCAGCACCCTCACCAAAGTTCTTCAAAACTGCACTGCCACTCTCAGAGAGTCCCTTCACCGCTACCACCACCATCGCTGCTGCTGCAACAACTCCCCCACTGCCTCTGTCCCCCCACCCTTCTGCCCCCAGCAATGAAGTGAGGTGGTACAGAATAAAGCCACGCCCCCTCCCAGCTACTGCAAAAAATTAACCCTGTCCTGGTCGAGACCAGGACACCAACTAAAATAAAACGTTGCTCTAGTCAAGCTAAACAAAGAAAAGAGATATGAAAAATATTTCTGATTAAGCATTAAGTCATTGAAACTTCACATAAAATCATCTCACAACTGTGCTTTAATGAATACACCCAGGCACTGTCAACAGAAACTAAAACTGGTTATAAGAACTACAATTTCCTAACTAACACCTCACTGGCAATTCCGAGCTGTATAGAACACATACTTTTCCATGCTTCTCCCATGCTTGCGTAGGAAATGACTCCACAGACTGCCAAGAAGGCAAACAGGAAGAGAATGACACTCCGCTGGAGTCGGGACAGCTGCTTCCATTTCTTTAGGAGATAAAAGAAGAGAGAGGAAGAACATTTAGCACAACATTAAGAGCCTACTTGGTTAAAAATAAACTCTTACCGGTTCATTCAGATTAAGAAACACAAAACCCAGTAGGTTTAATTTTACCCTGTTTCCAACTGCAGATTTCCATTGCTTATTTTCTTTGATGATGAGAAAATAGGAATCTAACCCGCTAGCATATGGCACAGCAAGCTCACAGAAACATCAGAGCCACTTGCTGCAAGGACCTCAGAATCTGCCGAATGCCAAGGATCTCACAGAACTTCAACTACAGCTGACTTTCATCACAACCTCCACTGCCTGACCTAAACATCTGCCCAGATGTCAACGGGGAAATCAGCCAAAAGCCTCTTTCCTCCTGGCTGGGGAGGGACTGCATAGTGCATATGCAAAATAAGAACAGAACAAGCAGTAGGAAAACTAAAAATGTTACTGCAGCAAAGAAGAAAGGCTCAAAATAAACTGAGCACCAGCCACTGGACACAGGTTCAATGCCTGTACAGGCCATTCACTTCATGAGCTGGACTCAGTGATCCTTGTGGGTCCCTTCCAACTCAGAATATTCTGTGAATCTATGAAAGAGAAGCCAGGCATCTGATAAACATGGGAACTGTCACACAGAACAAGTCCTGCACCACAGAGAAAGTCACCAACCTGCAGCAGCATGAAAATGAAGTAAAACACCACAACAACGAACAAGACAAATCCACAATGTTTCCAAGTTTAATTCTGGGCAAAAATGTATTGTTGAAACTGAAGTACAAGCAACAATCACTAAAAATCAGAGAGCAAATCCTATATTAGCCTGAGAGAGGCTAATGTACATTAGCCTGCATTTACAGAGAGAGCAGTTGGAGTTAAACATTAACTGCTCAAGTACCTTTGTTACTTTTCCAGAAGTCACACTGAAATTCACTAATATTGGTTCTGGCATACAGAGAGTGAACTTAAATTCCAATGTACACTCAGGAATAATCTATCCTACACAACGCCCCACAGCACTTCCCACAGTCCTCATCCTCTTAGCAACAGCCAGTCAGAACAGTCGATGTGCTCACACTGCAAGCCTGCAGCACATAAAGTTTCCTGTTTTCCGCCTGTCCTGTTGGCAGGAATCCTACACACCCTTCCCTGCACTCACTGCAAGATGCCAGTCCCACTCTGTCATCCTCTGCTCTACCTGCACGGCAAACCATATCACCATCTCCCCACTGCAGAAGGATGCTTGAAAACTGGAGCCTTGTGATTCCTCAGGGTAGGATAGGAAAAGAGGCATTGATTGTTGTGTCTTGGGACAGACAGGAATGAGGCACAAGAACATATGAGGGCATTTACCACCATCTTATGGTATTTTGTTCCCAAAGAATAAGGATAAAGTAAAGAGTGACATGAAGGACCCACACTTCTCAAGTTGGTAATAAAAGAGAACTTTGAGAATGTGTCCCTAAACAAGCTCTTCAAATGCTTCATCTGACAACCTGTAAATCCTCTGCAGGTGACTATTCATCATCTCCTATCTGTAACAAGGGCTATTGTGTCCTTTTGATTCACTCTTTCTCATTCAAGACTCTCCGGGCCCAACACTTCCACTCCCAGTAAGCTCCCTACCCACAGGCACACAAGATGGTCACTTCCCCAGAGCTCTGTCAGGGGACCCCTGTCGTCACACTCAGCCTTCCCACAGAAAGCAGAACTGTCCCCTTTACTCTTCCAGGGCGCCCCCTTCAAGTCTTAAAACAGGGAACAGAGGCACGGGGACCAAATCTCATCCCACTCATTCGTGTCCACAGAGCGCAGCACTGCCCTCCAAATGTCCACTAGCAGAGCACGGGATTTTACAGTATCCCCCAGCTTTGTTCGTGAAAATTAAGACACGACGTGGAGCCCCCCATGCCCGGAACCGGCGCGGGGCAGCCCCCGAGAGCAGAGCCGAGACCACAGCCACGGCCTCGGCCCCGCTCGGAGCGGGGCGGGCCAAGGCAGGTCCCCCATGGCAATGCGGCTGCACCCGAGCCCAGGGACATCCCGATCGCCCGGCCCAACACCGCTCCCTCCCTCATCGCCCCGAGCCCCCGCACCCAGCCCGGCTGCCCGCGGTACCGCACAGCTCCCCGTGCAGCCCTCACCCGCCAGCAGGAGCGCCGCCGCCAGGCCTTGCTGTTGTTGTAGCCGCCAGCCCCGACCGCCCCCTCCGGGCCGAGGCTGACGGAGATGAAGTCCCGGCGCGGCGGCCCCGCGGCGGCTCCCGCGTACATGGCGGCGCCTCAGGGGCCGCCCGCCGCCATCGCACCGCGGGGCGGAGCGGCCGCTTCCGGGAGCCGCTTCCGGTGCCGCTCTGGCGGCGGCCGCGCTCGATGGCACCGGGGGCGTGACCCGCTCGGACCTCCCGCCCTCCTCACGGTTCCCCCCTCGGGCCGGGGCCGCGGGGGTTCGGCCCTTGTCCCTCCTGTCCCTGCGCCCCCCACCCAGCCGGGCCCTGGCCAGGAGGGCCTCAGGTGCCTGGGCAGGCAGTGAGGACAGGAGAGGCTGGGAACCCTCTCTGTTCCGCGGTGTGCTGAGGTTACACCATAGAGGCCGTTCACGGGAACACTGGCAAGGGAGCACGAGAAATGAAAACGTGCATGTGGGGAGGTTCTAAGGAAAATCAACTCAACAGGTGGGCGGCCTGCAAGCTCCCATGGGCAGGCCCGGGCCCCAGCCCAGCAGCGCTGCCGCCCCTCCGGCCAGGGAGCACAGCCGAGGGAATCCCGAACTGCTGCCGACTCCGAGAGGACAGGGAAGAGCTGTCTCATGTCATCATCAGCTGCCACTGGGAACCCGAGACAGCTCTACAGCAGGCAATGCAGGAACACGGGCCTGGAATCTGACAGGATGTACGTGAGTGGGTGAAAAGCAACTTAAGCAGTTGTATAAGTAAACCCTGCCATGAGACCTGGCACTGAATTTTGGTACTCAGCAGGATGCACTCATCCCACAGCTGCTCCTCCACAGACCTCCAGCCTGTGCAAATAGTTCCCCGTATCTTCCCTGAGGAGGAGGAGGGGTGTTATCAGTGGGAGTAAGGAAGAGCATTGTTTAGTGATGTATACGTTCAGAGCCACAGCAGGACCACTACTTCTAGCTCAGGTTCCTAGTCCCAACAGGAAGAGGGCAGCACTGACGCAGCTGTTTTAAGTGCTGCTACTGAACTCGCCTCCAGCCGTGCCTCACTGGCAGGTTAGCTTACATCATTTGCCCCTTTACGTTTGAAATCCACCTCCCACTAGATTTTCAGATAAAACTGAAAAGTTTGTGTTTTCTGAGCATGATTAAGATTAGTTTTCTTCATGATTAAGAAAGCTAAGCAAGCAAAAATTCTGCTAAATCCTGCATAAACAAGCATGGGAACAATTTAGGATGCCTGAAGCATGCATTCATTTTTAGTATTCATTTTCCTACCACAGGAAACTACTGATTCATGTAGCTTAAAAAAACATTAAACCCACCAGCAGCCTTCGTAGTGGTGTCAAGAGAGAAACATGGGGGGGAATAGGTAAGAAAGGAAGATCTGACATCTGCTGGTTTCAGCACTAAACCCCCCAAACAGGACAATATGCCATTTGTGACATATTACTGACTACCCCTATTGATTGTGCTATAAATAAAGCCCTGTTTAAGACATGTCTGTCACTGTGAAGCAAAGCAAAATTTGCATTCCAGCAAGTGCTCAGCTGGGACAGCCTGACTTAGAGCCAGATCACTCAAATCAACTTGAAATAAGACAAACAACCACTACTCGCAATTAAACTCCTGTGAATAAACTGATCTGAAAAGCTTGGAAAAAATAAACAGAATTGAAGACAAGAACACAATCTTCTGTTTTCTGATGAAAAATAGATCCCACAGTGTTAAACCCTTCAGGAATCACCCTCTGCCCAGTCCCACATCCCCCATATTCTGAAGCACGGGCACTGCCGCCTCCAGCCGTACCACTGGTGACACTGTCTGTCCTGCAGCTGTGGTGACAACACCCAAGACATGTAGGGACAAAGACAACAAGGGTATTTTCCTCACGGACAAGAAAAACAGACACATAGAAATCACAGTATCATCTTTATTGTAAAAATGCTTAGGAGTCCAGAAGCTTCTGGAGTACTACAGGACTTCCCTTTGTCTCAGGTACTTTCTTCATTTTATAATGCATACAAAGACTTTGTTACATACTGAACAGATTCGTTTTTTAAAAAATTCTCTCGAAATTCTTTCTATGTTCCAGTTTAAAATGTAAGGAGTCATAGGGGAAAGAAAGCCCAACAGACAAAGCATTCAACATTCTAATATGGCTTTTCCTTGAAAACAACCTTAAAAACGGTATCAGCAGCTCTGTGTACACGGGAAGCAAAGCTTCAAAAGAGAAAGTATTTTACGAAGAGCAAAAGAAATCTTTTATATCCAGTGCAACATAAAACAAGTGTGTGCCAGAACTGCCGAGCAATACTCACAAAGATACAACACAACTTGTTCTCAGACATAAAACTTGACTGACAGGAATGGAATGAACCACAGAAACACTGTGCAAAAAGACTGCAGAACTGAGTGTCAATGACAAATGCATCATTTATTCTAAATGAGAATTACTGGCTGCACATACCAGCTAAGGTAATCAGAACTGTCATGAGCTGGTCTGCATGTGTGAAAGGCCCGTTACTCAAGTTCATGCAGAACTACTTTATAACCAAAAACTCTGATATTAACATTTAGATGCTTTCTTTGGAAAACGAGCCTACTTACAAAGTGTATTTAGTCTCAAAGCCATTTTTCTACTTACCCAATATTCTGAATAGAGCTTCACATCAGGAACTGCAGAAAGCCATGGAAGTTATTTATGCTTAATGAAATATCGTCAGCAATTCCTTAGTAGAAGCTGATGCATGAAATAGTATTTCAGATGAGGCATCTTTCTCACTACCTTCCCTAGCACCAGGTTTAGTGGAAAAGTATAGAGTGCTCCTGAAGCAAAGACCAGCCACCAGTGAGTGCATCCTCAGTACGGCTGAAATGACTCTGGTTTGCTCAGCACAGGTTCTGCAGCAGGTGGGTATGAGCCTCCCAGAACAGCATCCAAAGGCTGAACAGGAACAATCACTGCTGGATCACGGCCATCCTGGGATCCCTTGGCCAGGACTGAGTTCACATGCTACATATGTTATGACAATTAACATCCCTCATTAGCTAACATTTATCTTTACATGATCTTTTGTAATATATTTAAAAAGAAGGCATCTAAGGAATTATTTTCTAAGTGAAAGAGTGCTGGAAAACCACATGGGCAGAAAATGCAGAAGCAAGGCTGGTGTTTTACTGTGTGCCCTGGTGATGCTGAAAGTAAGTTTTCTGGGGTTTTTTTTGTTTTGTTTTGGTTTGGTTTTTTTTGGTTAAGCATTAAATTCTACCACTGGGATTTGTTCCTCTTACTACTTTCAGGTTCCTTGAGAGAGCTCGGTCTGAAGGATATGGTATACATTAAACAGGAAATGGAAAGCAAAACAAATGTTTGTTATAGCCATGAAGAGCAGAGGGTTGTGAAAAAAATTCTCATCAACTTTTTTTTTTTTTTTTTTAAATTAAAAAACCCCAGGTCACTACACCTGACAGAAGCAATCAGTCCAAACAAGACACCAGCAAGCTCAGATACAAAAATAGTCTGACTGCTTTGGAGTCCAAACCTCACGCAATGCTTAGGCACAGCAACATCCCTACACACAGCAGACTCTGTATAATCTGCTTAGAGGATGCAATTGCTGAATTGGATCCTCTACCATCACAGGATTAGGGAAAAGATGTTTCACTGGAGTGAAAGGCCTCAGTACCCACAGTCCTTCCATACTTTTCAGGATGGGCCTCAAACTGACTGCAGCTATGCACATAATTTAGAAACAAAACCAAAACAAAAACCCAACCACACCAGCACAAACAAAAACCCTAACAAGGCACTGAAGAGATTTAATCTTCTTGGATGCAAAGCTGATTTATTAGGCCCTGGCTAGCTCTTTTCCATATCCACGTGCCCAGCAAATAAGAAATATAAGATATGTTTAGCACCTGGAGGGTGTTAATCCTCACTCACATCCAAGTGTACAAAACAGACTGAGGTAAGAGGCCCAGCATTCAAAGTTACCAAACAGAACTGGGGGGCATGAACATGTGTGTAAACCCAACTGCTGCAAGGATTTGGCATCAATCAAACGCTGCAAAGCATTTTTTTTTTTTTATAATGCACTTCATAGCTGACATTTTAGTAATGTCAGTTCTCATAATGGATCTGAAAAACAGATATCTGATGAGGGGGAAAGGCTTCCCTCTTCAAGAATTTTCCAGCATTTCCACTTTGGTTTCATCAAGTACAAAGGGAGAAGGGAAGTCTTTGTTCTTCATGTACACCTCCAGACCCTGAGAATGTGTGAGAACAGTATTGTTAGGCTGTAAATGCATCAGACTGGTCACCTATTTTAAAGTCCTCAAGAAATGACTGAGAAAGGTCATGGGAAGGACAAACAACAGCAACAGTTTCTCATGTGATGGAAAGTGTTTCGGCCCCAAGCCTGGGGTTCATGAAGGAGTGGCACCAACTAACCATAGAACACAGCTAGCTCAGAAACTAGCTTCCTGGGGAGGGGCAGGCACGGGAAGGAGTTCTTAGCTAAAATTAGAAGAATCCTAGCAAATCGAAGGCAACTTAAATTGCCTGTATTCATTTTGCTCTCAGAAGGTATCAATTGCAACAAGGTTGCTACATGCACCCGTTGAGGATACACTTAGTGCAGGTCAATGTTGCAAGTTAATACAAGTGGAAACCTAGCCAAAGTGTCAAGTTTCACCAACACCCTTCCCCATATCCTCCTGCTGACATATTCTCCTGCAATCCACTGTCTCTCACTCCATCTGTCCAACACAGGGAAGATCCTCTTCTCACTACTACATGTTTCTCAAGATCAATTATTTTCAGAGGGACAAACTTGAGAAATTCTTTCCCTAAAGCCAATGCACATATCTCACTTCTCAGTCGGTACTCACTCACTGTGGGAGATGGGAATAAGTGAGCCCAGGACCCAAAGATTTTATAATTTTAATATTCTGCACTTTTCATTCAGAAGATTTCAAAGTGCTTGTGAGTCTTAATGAAACTGCAGCCTCATTGCAAATCTCATTTTACAGGTGGCTAAAACTGAGAGTGAACAAACTGCTGAAGAGTAAACCATAGTGGAACCAGAAATGAAACACAGAGCCCAAGTCCCAGTTCCCTTGGTCTGACCATTTCTCAGCAAGCCCAGGCTAAATACACCTGTGTTCAGAAGGAAATCAAATGTATACCTGCACGCTCTTAAAAATAGCTTCCATAGATAGTTATTCTCACCTCTCCAAAGTAAGACACTAATGGAGAAATCTCACACACCGCTGGAGGATCTTCAGTTCCTGAGAGACTAGAGAAGAGAACACAGGATTAACTTCCTGCTGTGCTTAAAAAACAGTGCATCTTCTTCAAAAGATTGTCTAGAATAGGATAGCCAGAAGGATAAGACATTTGTTATAGTCACACACACCAGATATTATTTGAACATAAAGTGTGAAAATAAAAGGGAATTAGCAGGTCCCAAATATTACTCATCAAAACCAGGGCATCACTTTTATAGGTGCTTTTTCAAGTCAAATTAACAGCAGGAGTTGATGAAGTAATGGCCCCATGAAGTAAAAGCAGCTTCCCACTCCATTTGACACAGGAAGTATCTGAACTGATAATCACTGTAGTAGTCAATCCTTAAGCCCACCTGAGAATCCTGTTGGGTCCACATTCAGAAAATCTGGCAAGGCCTACAAATTAAAATTCCTTGGGCTGGCTAAATCCAGAGTGATGGGAAAGGCTGCTCCTGTTTAATGGTGCTATAGGAGGGGTCAACTCACAACCCCAAGGGCAGGGATCTGCCAGAAATAACACCCAGAGCCCCCTTGTGCTGACTGCCTGGAGCACCCACAGTCACTAAAGGAGCAGGAGCGGTAATAGACACCAATCTGCACATCAAGAGAGCACCAGCTGCATGAAAATCATGCTGAGCCACCCTGTGACTACACTAACACCTGCTTTTGGAGAGCCCAGACTGGCTGGGCAGGCCCAGCAGAGAAGATGCAGAGGAGGTCACTGAGGTTCAAACCTGAGTTTCTCTGGTATCCTGCAACCATTTTCATCCACAAATCTGGCCCCAGCCTTGAGGGCCCAGCGGTAATGCTGGGCCAGAAGGGCTTGCCGAGCAGTGGTAGGAGTGTCTTTGTCAGCCGTGTCTGCATTTTTTAGTGGTGAGAACTCTTCTTCTCTCAAAACTTCAAATGCCACAAAATTCCTACCAGCAAGGGGAGAAAACAGTGATCATGAAAACCAGAGCTAGTCATCAGAGCTGCTAATGCAACAACAACGTTCACGGTGAAAGGCTCATACATATTTTAAGGAGCAGCGATGTATGCAGCCTGGGGCAATCAAGCCAAGGGAAGCCCACAGCCCATCTGAAGAGCCAAGGAGAACCAGGCCTGTAGGATGGAAAAACACACGAAGCCTTGTCTCTTTGGGAACATAACAGTGACCTCCTGACTCTCTGGAGGCTGCATTCAGGTGAGAGGCAAAGCAACAGTTCTGCAGAGGTTCCACAGAAACCTCTCCAGACACTGGGAGGCTCCCAGACAAAACGACTCAGAGCACAGCAGGATGCAGAGCGCAAAGCTGTCCAGGGCTTGGACACAGTACAAGCTGTGCACTCACTGCAGAGCATCCCACCTTGCCCAAAAAATGTCCACTCTGCTTGGGTGTCTGTAGGTCAGGACCAAGTAAGGATACCAGTTCCCAGGGATAAACAAGCAGTATGGGAGGCCTCACAGGTGAATGTTAAGTACAGCTGTTTACCAGAAATGGGAATGCAAATTTAAAAAGCCCCACAGCAGTATCTATGTGTTTCTCCACTTCATGTGTGAAGCACAGCTGCCAAGCTGGTTTTGAGGTGTTAAAAAAACATAAGGAATCACTGCATGCAAATGAGTCCCGACACAGCTCAGAACTCAGCACTGTTTATATCACCCTGCTTTTGCCTTTGGTTTGATACCATTGTACTGAAGGCATGTCAGGAAACAGAGACTGGTTCAAACTTTGAGCCCTCAATCCTAAAGGAAATCCTCTAAAAAAAGAAATACTATCCCCAAACAAAGATAATTCAGTTGTCTGAGGTCTCTCTTTGCCATTTATTTAAGCCTAAAACAGAATCTTTACTGTTGAATTTAAGACCTTGGAAAATGCATTTTATAAGAACACATGCTAAATTACTACATCATTAAAATCCCAATTCCCTAGGCACAAGTAGCCCTGACTGCATATGGCAGAGCACTCTTAGCTATGTTGTAGAGCTTGGCAAGTCAATACCAACAGTTCCCACAGCAACAATAACTTGGCCCCACTGTGCTTAAGCAAACTGTTTTCCAAGAACGAAGGTTGCGTGCTGAGCCCTGGTGTAACAGCACCCAAAAACGTAACCAGAGCTGCAGTTGCCATGGAAAGACCCACAATCCTGAAAGACCCAATTTTTGCGAGTCTATACACTCCAACATGGGCTTCATGTGCTTTGCGCTCAATTTCCTTTTATTTTTCCCAGGCTGGCAGAGTCCAGACCAGCCAACACGTCCTTGGCAAGACGATCAGTCTGGGAGCAGGGTCAGTGCAAGTTGCAAGTGCCCCAAGAGCTCCCCTTGGAACTGCGCTGGTGTTGTTGGGTTGGAGCTGGACGTAGATTCAACAGCCTTCCTAACAAGCCACCTGTGGTGGTTTTAATCTAGGCCTTCCCTGGTTACCAATTTGTAACCAAGGAAGGGGCAGTGTTCCCAGTATTCCATACGATTTTTACATAAATCGTGGTATAAATAAGAAGGAAGGAGAAGCCTTCGTTCTTTCTTCTCTTCCGCCGAAGTTCAGGAACAGTGGGTCCCTGCATTGGTCTCTCTTATTTAAGGCTGAGGCTGCAGC